CAAAGGTTCTCGCTCTGTTCATCCCAATGCACACTTCACGGGGCCCCGATGCCATGCGTCCAGCATGTCTGATGCCAGATTTTGGATTTGATGCTGCTTGCCTCCCTGAAAATTTGTGTCCAACGACGCACCCATCAGGCGAGAGGCGACAGGATGCATGCACTGCCATTTGTTACAAACGGCGGAGCCATCGATCACTGGTATCTCAGATCGTTCTTACCTTTCACGTACTTTGCTCCACGCGGACGCTGGCTTCAAACTGATGACCGTGGTTGCTGACCAACACCTACATTGTGCGCTGGATATGCTGAGGGCTCCCCTCGCGTCTACGATCCCTGGGCAATTTGCACAAACTCATGGAAAGAGATTCAGCGCTCGTTGTTCGCAGCGTGCAAGTCATTCAAACCACTCGCCAACATCTTTCTGATCCTCTCCCACGAAATTTTCGACACCATCACCTGCATGACCTCATGCGCTAGCACCTATGTATTCGGTATCTTTTGAAGGTGTGGGCAGTATCCAATTGTCGTAAACCCCCCATGCCGGTTGCAATGGGAGCTAGAGGGGATATGGTGCAAATCGTGAATCCGACGAGGCCAAGGCGATCGAAGATGGTCGAGTCACCGCACCTTCAGAAGGATTCAAACGAACCAAACGCCATCGTCTGTCCAGGAATTAACAGCGAGGGACCCAGAAGGCTAGAAAGGTATATAAGACCCGTGGATTCAACCTGGGTGGCACCTTTTCTCCTTCGAGCAAGACACACAGCTTCTTCGACCGTACTCTCATTCGAATTCCCACCATGCTCTCCAGTCGCAAAGAGACTCAGCACACATTGCCCGCCGCGGAAGCAGTTGCCACGCAGCTCACCATCGCCAGCAACCAGGAGAAGGTCCGCTGCGGTGACCTCCGCCAGGCTGCCTTTTGGTGCTTCGGCGATATTTTGCATCTGATCCGCACCACGTCTTGGAAGGCCGCCTACGAAAAGTCCTCAAGGTTCAGCCGCAACCAGGAGCTGCCTTACTGTGAGCGTCTGAATATCTTTATTTTTTGTGCAAACGCACAGGGTTGACCGAGAAATACATTTTGATACTCCCAGTCGAATCCATTGCGTTTGACGAAGTGATCAATGCCATCGAGGATTCTCTCATCGAGTGCATCCCTGACCAACGCGCGCTCATCGACTCAGGTATTGCCATTGCCATGGCCATCAAGGAAGCTGAGGACTGCACTGCCATGCTGCAGAGCCTGGCCAATCTCTATGGCTTCTACAACTATGTTCACACGCTCGTTGCCACAAACGGTGCCGCGGCCTTCTTTGCTTCTCCCACATCCACTCAGAAGGTGACCTCCATCAGCGTCGCCGGCGGTGCGCACGGCCATATCATTGTCTCGTGGCCCACCGAGTTTGGCTCGAACCTCGTCGAAGCCGTCCAGTCTAACGTGTGGTACCTGCGCAACGAGAGCCGCAACCCTACCTTCGCTGAATTCGTCGTCGAGCACCTTGCGTACCTCCTTCTCGCTCACGGCAAGTACACCAGTTCGCTCAACTTCCGGTCCAAGGTCGCTGGCGCTAAATTCCTTGGTACCGTCGGATTCCGCGCAACAAGCCAGACTTACCCTTCCCTTACCGACCCTGGTGATGGCCATGTTTTCGGCACAACACGCAAGTCCGAGTGGCTCCAAGGCGCGATTGTTCACGTCGAGCACCTCGAGAGGCCTGGTGGCGTTCCCAGGTCTTCGATCGAATCGTACCGTGTTCCTGCCATCCTGGACTTCGCCAAGACTCGTCTTCATACCGCGGGGGCCATGCCCAACACTTACTTTACTGGTGAGTTCAGTCGCAGTGATACTTTGAGGAAGTATTTTTAACACGACCTGCATTCCTTTCGCAGGCCGTGCCCTCCGCGACTCGGCTGGTTCCTTTGAGCAGTCGTTCATCAAGATCGTCAACACGACCTCGGCTGCTTGCTCGCAGGCCTTCTCACTCGGCGCGGCCGAGTGCAAGATTGCGGTCGACGACCTCTCCACCTCACAGATGACTGCGTACCTGAAGGCGCTCGCGGGCCACACCATGCGCGAGCCGCACCAGTACCTGAGCTGCGCGTTCAACCTCAACTGGCCCATCGTCGAGGACGATGCGCTTGACGCTGGTGGAAACATCCAGCCCCCTCGCCTGATCATAGAACCATTCGAGATCGCCAGGCTAGGCATCGATACCGCCTGCCGCGCTGGCTTCGACAAGGTCACCTGGGACGGCGCCTCGGACTCATACCCTAGCAAGCCGGTCATCAAGCAGCTACCCTTTGAGCAGTGGCTCTACCTCACCCACGTCGCGCATGAGTGCGGCCT